CAATCTATGAGTCATTTACAAGGCCTCAAGATTGTTGTTATAATTCAGTACGCTTTAAAAGCGAGATCACGGGTAATGCCTATTAACAGTCATCGACATCGCACGCAAGGCCATTGAAGGCAAACATGGAAAGCGCGTCCTATTAAGTATTTGCTATGAAGTTGACCCTAGACGTGGTAAAAACGCCTTACACTGCAAGTGGAGCTCCATTCTTTCTGCGCCTACAACTCTTGATTCCAAGGCTACACTCTCGAACTCGTAAAAATTACTTTAAGGAGAGATCGTCCTATATAAACTGTGTCTGGCAGTACAATCTTATACGGTCACAGCGTGTCCCACAGTTCGTACTTGGGTCGATGTTGTGAACTATGTATCACCCGTGTGAAACTCGAGGTGCCGAAGTCGCAAGAACATGGATTCCTGACCGATGTTGCAATTTCGTTGTCGCAAATACATCGAGCAAGTCACGCAGGTCCAACGATGCTGTCCGGAATTCCGCGGGTGCTTACGTCCGGTAGGGCTACAGATCCCCCATAGAAACAGAGCTTGCTGTGACGGCAAAAAGTGAGAGAGATATTCTTCTTAATGTAGCAGGCTGCACAAAATTCCATCGCCAGCTGCTCACTGAGTATTTGAGTGCATATGACGCGGAGACTGCCTTTGACAGCACCTGCCAATGTGCTCAGAAAAACATCTCTTATGCGCATCCGCTATTCACGCTTATGCCTAAGTAGGGCTCCTGGGCAAAGAAGCCGAGGCTCACTAGCCTAGTAAATTCATTCTTCTCTACGGCACCCCTGTCTGGGCTGATGCCGATGCATTCAGGTCATTACGCCCTGGGTTAAGTCGAGTGCATAGAAGTTCCCCCTGCGGTTCTCGGGACGTTTCGCACTCGTACTACTCCTAGTGATGCTGTTGGTGTTCTTAGCAGATATGCTCCATCACCTCATTGCGCAGGGAGAGAGCTAACTCTATTTGCGCAAGCTGCAGAGGCGCGCCTCAACACTGGAATCACCATTACGCAAAGAACGAGAGCGGGCGTGACATTGACCAATGCAGACGCCGGTCGGCAGCAATCCATCAACTGGCGAGACATTTCGGCTGTCCATTTCCCACATCCATGACGTGATCAAAGAACATGGAAACTTAGACTCTTATCCTACTCAGATCTGCGACAGGCCAATGGACAATGTTCACGCGCGTATCAGCTCCGCATCCGCGCGACGACCATACGCTCATCATGCCCAAGGTGTTTCCCGGTGATTGAAATGTTTAGAACACGTAGTTCTTTCATTGATCCACGCTTCTCAGTGGAAAGGGCAGAACTCACAACTCCTCCAAGAGGAATACCCCTGACCATCTCACTAGTCGCTCTGACACAAGATAGTGGAGCGGTAGCCACGCTATCCGCAAGTCCTGAAGACGGCTTCGCTCCGATCGGAAGCTAGTTACGAAGACATCACCTCCCGTAATATTCGTGACGTGCGAAAAGCCCATCCTTCCTTCCGCGATGCAATGCCGACGGCCGTTCCGCGGAGAATAGAGGAAAGGGAAGGTTTTTAGTGCGGTAGGGCATAGCTAGCTATGATCCCACACCCGGTTCGCCCTCTGGTCTTTTAGAAATTTATCCCCTCCCACATAAAAAAAAAAAAAAAAAAAAAAAAAAAAAAAAAAAAAAAAAAAAAAAAAAAAAACACACACACACACACACCAGAAATAACGCGTCCTATATATTATTCGCTTAGTTCCAATTTACTAAAAATTCATTTTCCAGACAGGAAACTTACCTCTGAAGAAGAGCCACTGATCGTTTTATGCGCAAATAACGTTTTCTACATACAAAGGCACGCACTTGCTTTTGAATTATAATGCAACATGCGCGCCGACGATCAGCCCGTAATTTTTCTAGATAAGCCACTTGGCCAGCACGAAAGAATATTTTTGTGCGACCAAACTGATATTTGTCTGTGTCCTACAAAAAAATCCAAGATTATTTCTTTTGAATTATTTAGTATAGTGACCAATACAAAATATCTAGTTTATTCTTAATAACGACCCACAAGTTTTTTGCTTGTTCTTAATTTTGTTAATGCCATCTATTGTTTTCAAGTAGAAACTTAATTAATAAAAATGACAGAAAGAACTAAGAAGAAGAAAATCTTCCCGTTCGAATATAATTAATATCATAATAAAGTTTTGATCTTTGAATTATTGATTACTATTTTTCATCACAAAATATGTGCACTTACCTTGATAAAATTTTTGAGAATATGCTCACATGTTCCTTTCATGTTATTACGTTGAATATTAGATGATCGACATAAAACACGGTATCGTTGAAAAAATTCCATGTATGTCCACCGAGATGGAAATCCAGCAGCACTGATGCGAATTGTTTCTAACACTCCACAAGCACGCAATTGTTGAACAACACGCTGTGGGTTGTACTCAACTTGTGCTTTGACATCGTTTGGTTTGATACACCGTACATAATGAGGAGTTGTAGCATTTAATGTTGACATCAACATATTAAGCGAGTCACGAAACTGCGATCCAACCTGAAATTTAACAGCGATTTCAACTAATGGGTTTTCAAATTAATTTACTCGTGTTCTAAAAATGTTTACTAGAATGCATTATCAGATAAAATAGCATAATTATTACTACTATAATGAAAATTTAAATAAAAATAAGGATTTCACTTGCTTACCAATTTCTTATGGTTATAACAACAGTGCACCCCCCCTTGAGAGCTAATGCTAGAGTGGACCCACTTGGCGTGTGTGCGTGAATGTTCTTGTGTTCATGTACGCGCGCGCGCGTGCGTGAATGTTCTTGTGTTCATGTACGCGCGCGCGCGCGTGTGTGTGTGTGTGTGTGTAGGGGTGGACAGCTGCCCAGACCTACAGAGTGCTGTACACGTTGTATTCTTTCATGTAATTTTGATTTTTGATAATCTCAACAAACGTTCAACTACGGGAACAAAGCTTTCATTTTAATGTACGATATGCCCTCGTCTATTAAAAACGGAAGAACAATTTTGTTTGCCAGTGACACTAATGTTCTTTGCAAAACAATAGAGAATAAACAATATGCAATTAGCTGAAGTTAAAGTAACAAACTTTCTAGGTATCTCAATTCAAACTTCATATGGAATGTACATATAACAGTATTAAACACTAAATTAAATTCATTATGTTACGCATTAAGAATTCTTTCAAATTCTGTCAGCCTTCATGCAGATCTTTTCGTGTATTTTGCAAATGTTCATTCCCGCCTGAGATATAGCATAATATTCTGGGGAAGCTCATCATGTTGTACTCGGACCTTTGGATAGTAAAAGAAAATTATTCGAACAATGAAAAATGCCATCCACGTGATCCCTGCGAGCCTCTCTTCATTGAGCTTGGAAACTTACCATTGCTGTGACTATTTACGAATTTATAATTTTTGTCAAAACTGACTTGCTTAACGGCGGGAACAAATTTTCATGCAATACTGATATTTATATTTTACAACATTTAGTCGCTCCCTCTGTTTCTATATAGACATACTCAAAACATCCTTGGTCTTGCGATCAGCGTATTTAAGGGCATTCAACATTTGCCATTGTCGATTAGTAGGATTTTGTAAACTTTCTTGTGCATATTTAGTCAGTAACCACTGCAAAATGATATATGAACTCTTATCGTCAAGGTTGAACTCCATATTGTCCTGTTAAAGTAATTTTTCAAGTTCAGACTCACAATTATTTAATATTTAGAGTATCTCTTTTCCTTACTCTATCACCGTAAATGCTACAACCTATTTTGTTGGTGAGTGTATGTGTTTTTAGAAGCATGAATAATATTCTAGCACAAAAAAGAATTTTGGGAGGACCTTAATCACAAATGTCAACTATCTTTTTATGCCATTCAAACCAGGGCATCTCGATCGAGATCCTCTGGTCACAAGGGATCGTGTTATTCTGTTTCAAGTTTCAATGTAGTAGGAACGAATAAGCGACAATTTCTGTACAGGGTAGGGACAGGTCATCACTATACTGCAATGATCCCTTAGCTTTGCATGGCTCTCTTTTACCGCTCCTGTATCTCGGGTCAGGGAGGACGTCTGAACAGATTGTATTATTCTAGTACGTTGGGGTGTATTAACTCAGAAATTGCATGACGTCAGAGAAAATACAATACATTAGACATTCTAGATCCCACAGATGTCACGGGAACAACCGTCTCATCATCCCCTAAACTACATCATAAATTTTCAGTATATCAGCTTCACAAACTTCTGACTCAATATCCCAGGTGAGGCATAGCAGTGTAAATGTTTCCATTGGGCAAAGAAGGTGGCGATAAAATTAAGAAAACAAATTTCCATGACTTTTCCTGTTTTTCAGACATATCAACGTCAATTTCTTCTGACTATTTTCAAATGAAATCAAATAAATCTTAAAATGCTTTTCTAACCCTTTTCAGGATCTGTGAAACAGCAGATGTTTGGTGCGCACTGGTAGACCGCAGGCCGCTACGGCCTTGTGAACAGAACACGAGCAATTACGAGCGGACAAGTTGTAGTGATGTACACATCGTTGCACTTCCTTTTATTACATTCATTTATTTTTAAAGATGTGCATAGATACCCCAGATGAAGTACAATTCCTATTCGCTCAGTCACAGGAAAAAGGCAAAAATATAAAATGCGAGTACAGTATTTATCGAAGAAAAGGGAAGTTGGGCGAGTTTCCGTTCATGAAATTAATTCCTTCGATAACAAATTTTTCATTTGTTTTAGACTGACCAGAGAAAATTTTGAAGAATTGAGAATACCTTGAAACCATCAATCATGACCACTAAGTTGTGGAGACGCAATGGGGCAGGTAACATCGGTGATTCCGCCACGAACAGCAATTTTTCCCCCTGAAAAAAAATCTTTGAATTTTCGATGGAATAACAAATTTTCCGACAATTCTCGATTTTCCAGGTACGCCGCCATCTAGCATTAAAGAGTTGATTTTTATACCCTTTACAAAATGAAGAGAACGCTATTCACCCCACCATCGTTGTCCTGTGAGTAGAAAGCTCCACCACGCCTCTGGTTTTGCAGTATAGTGTTATTTCGTCAAATGGTTACCAACCAGATAAAACACATGACGCATATTTGTTAATTTCATAATTTATTATTTTGATAATACTCAATTGTACTTAGAGATTTCATTTTATCTATATTATAATTATATTTGTATTTAATTATTTTTATATTATTTTGTAATGTAGTTTATACATTTTTAGCCCCAAAGATGATCGCCACAGGGTCAAAAATATATTAGGAATTAAAAAATTTAATATATAAACGAAAATAACCTTCTCGACACCAGTTTCTGTAGTTACATATATACGTATATAAGACAATGTTTGTTTCTTTGTTGGTTTGCTCTTAGTGTGCTGCCGTTCTGTCCATCGAATTGCGATAAAATGGCGGCTGGTGCCCCTACAGACATGAAGTTGCAACTCCATCGAATGACGGAAATGTAATTTCAAAAATTCAAAATAATAATATATGAAACGGTGCAAATCAGAATGGTATAAAAGACATTTTATAAATGATGAGAAATCTGTTTATTTATGTCAATATCACTGTAAAGTCGTGGTGCTTTGTACGTCATTAAAACCACAGCATTTCAATTGTTTACTAAAACATACATTTCCACTAAAATATAGCCTAAAATAAACACGTTTCAGAAATTTTCTGATTTTCACCTATTCATATAATAAAAATGTAAGCAATTGAAATGTAATTAAAACTAAGTAAATAAAAATCTACATTACTTACATAGTTTTATACATGTTCCTCCAGCGCACATGGTTCGACTTTCATTTCCACTAGGCACTTAAGTTAGACTACAGCACATTGCAAGAAGACCTTTTGCTTTGACTGTTCACACAATAAAATAATTTTATTCTTTTAGTTAACCAAATATGCTCATTAATTCCATGAAAAATCGTTGATTGTCCCTATGTTTATGGCATATGTGCAACTAAAACACAACAACCAATCAGAACTCCGAGAACTGATCGAAATCGTTTAATTATGTATCTATAATACAGACGTTTCCAAACGGCCATGACACATGAATAAAAATATACATCACATTAATATGTATATCGAAAACATATAATCAATGAATTAAACAAAATTATAAACGAATAATTATTACTACGACTTAGACAATCATGTTAATATTTGTAGTACAATATGTTAAATTATAGACTATTAAACCACTCATACTTGGAATCAATCATCCTAACCCACAAGTCGCTTTATATAGCACAGTTATGATTACTTCACCTAATGGAACGTGACTAAGAGCAGGTGTTTGCGCAAAACTTATTTTTTTTAACAAAATCGGGTAAATTGCATAAAATTTAAAATATCGATATTCTCCTTTACACACCACGTCTTCAATATGAACAAGTATGGCCATAAGCATGTTGGTTAGACACTAGCTGACTAATGGAACAACTTAAACATATTTACCCGCTCTGAAAAATACATCAGCAAAACGTCTGTCAGAACTGAATCGTCTTTCTCCTTTCGAACATTATGTTGTTCTCTCATACGTTTCCTTACTTTTCATACGAAGTAATGTTTTCATGGACTTGTCAGCTTCTTCTAATATTTCAACCGGAATACTTTAAATATTTTCCATTTCAACGTAATTACCAAACACAATTATTCTCTACGACACGAAGGCAATATACACCGCAAGGACTACTGAAGTAGGTCTTCGTCAGGACCAATATGACGTTATCAAAACCATACGTCTAATAGTAAAGTTATGATTGAATGTATCCAAATTAAAAGTATTCTTTAATAAAAACGAAAAGCTATTGAAAGACACACGTATATAAAGGGGTATAATTGCACTCATGGTAAATAAGGAAATTTGCTATCGCTGCTCATCTCCTTGACCCAATCACGCGACTACACCCTTCTTCATTCACTCGTTTCGTGAATTCCTATTATTTCAAAAACTTCACTACCCTGGTATATATGGCAATAATGAAAACACATACGTATTCACAAGAAAACTCGCAAAGTGCTGGCCGACCAGCAGAGATGTGTGAGAGAGAGGGAGGAAAGAGGAACAGGGACGCAGAGAGAGAGAGAGAGGGACGCAGAGGGAGAGAGAGAGAGGGACGCAGAGAGAGAGAGAGGGACGCAGAGAGAGAGAGAGAGACGCAGAGAGAGAGAGAGAGACGCAGAGAGAGAGAGAGAGAGAGA